TTTTCTGTGGCGCTACATACATACTGTCAGCTTAATGTGACACTGCGGAAATTAGAATTGACACAAGGAAGGAAGAAGAGCTGGGTAGCTAAAGTGCTAGGGAGGAACTCAGGAGACTTATGCCCCATTGCCAGTTTGACTACCAGTCTTAAGAAGCGTGCTTAGTGTAATTCAAGCCTCAGGTTCCCATATGCAAACAACTCTTTCCTGCTGTAATCTTTTTTGTGATCTTAAATGGGCTAGCATGAGGACTATAGATCAACCTAAATCATTGATCACTACTTAGTTTGCATTAGAATTACATATATCAAAAATAGCAGCTTTGGTCTGGTCATATATAGCATAACCTTCTTTGCTACGTGGAGTGTGTGGAAAGGTAAAAGACTTGAGGCAGATGATGCAGTCATGTCTGCAATCTGAACTGTCACCAAAATGTGAACAAAAGGGTTATGTGTGCTAAAGACACCAGTTAGTTTTGGAGATGGGATCCACATGAATGTCAGAGTATTCAGTAGGTCTGCGATGCTTGTATGTGGAAGTAAAACCTGGATTGGACCTAGCGGAGATGCTGGAGCCTTCTGGCAAGCTGAACATGCACAGACCTTAGGAAAGGGAACAAGTCTTTTGAGAGACTAGAGCTGCTAGTTCCATTGATGCTGCCTGAACTTTATTGCAGTCTTCCACTGGAACTGTTTCTGTCCTATTTCAGGGTATCTGAAACAGCAGAATACAAATGTGTTGTTATTCTTTCTTCAGCATGCAAAAAGAGTATTTAATACCATATTTGAGGATAACAGCTGACAGAAGCATGCAAGAACTGGCTGTTCTAAATACATGGTCTATCTGCACAATGCTGAACAAAGCATTGCTTATATTTGTACATTTGACTGAAGAAGAATTATGCCATATTTTAAAGCCAACCAAAATGTAACAGTGAACACACACAGTTGGTGCATTTTTGGAAGCTTTTTTGGAAGGCAGGGAGTGAGACTTCATACCAACTCTTAGTCCAAAAACTTAGTGAATTCCTCATATTTTATGTGAAATACAATGTAACTGGACCAAACAGGAATAGGGTAGATGAACAGTATTGCCYTTATAGTTTGTTATTGCCTATCCAGATCTCTGAAGGAAGAATTCCTTCCTGATTCTGTCCCTTCTAGCCAATTGCTTTGGCTTGCCAGATCTTTAAAGATGCATTAGTTTAAATTTTCTCTTTCTCTGTGG